CGTGTGTATGTGTGTATGTTTATCATTTTATTTCAATATCAATTTAGGCGAGTTTGAAGGGATCTACAATTAATACTTAATATCACATGTCACAAATTTTATGAAGGAAAAGTTAAAAAACAACAACAAACTATCTTATTTATTAAATATTTAAACTATTTTTTTAATAAAAAACCGTTAAACTTTCTCATTATGAATGATTAATTGCATTAACTATTTTTTTGAATGAAAAAACCATTAAACTTTCTTTTTTTGATTGAAAAACGATTAAATTTTCTCATTTTGATTGATTAAGTTTCTGAACATTTTTTTAATAAAATAATCAATAGCATTTTTTAAAAATTGGTTTCCTACATTATTTTAACCCAAAAAAGTTACATTAACCGTCTAGTAAAAGTTTAATAGTTTATTTATTTAAAAAAGATTAGGGTTTTGATCGTTCAAAATATGAAGATTTAATAATTTTTTCATTCAAAATAATAATTTAGGAACTAAACTATTTAAAATAAAAAATTTATTAGGTTTTTTGGAATTTTTCCATTTTTATGATGTTAATGGAGTTATTTTATAAGATTTGGATCAAAGAGGCCAATTTCATCATTTGGGGCCCAAGGGAAAAGCCCATTCCTTAGAATCAAATATTACAACTTCAATAAAAATGAAATGGAAAATCAATTAAAAAAATTACATTTTACTTTTTTTATTAACCTAGATATTCAACCCGCTATGCGAGCCAACTAATCTTATAATGACCATCTGCTTTGCAGATAGTCTAGAGTCACCGCATTTGAATCTCAATGAGTACAAGTGGATTTTTATTCACATTCTACTTTTACATCTTCTTTATTTTGAATATTATGATATTAATTATTTTAAAATTATATAAAAATAATAATATAATTAACATAATTGGTGAAAGCACCTTAATAATATTTTTTAAGAATCCTTTAAATTTGGAGATTTTTAATCTTCTTTCTCATACTTTCTCCAATTTAAAATAAAACTAAAAAAAACCATTGAATCAAAAACTAGGTTAAAATATAAAAAATCTCACTTTTTTATTTTAGAAAATCAGAAAATGAAACGTAAGAAATTATGATAACCTTGAGAACTTATACATTATGTTGTATTATATATGATTTTTTTTTCATCTATTTTAAATGTTGATTATCATATATTTGATTCACATTGTGTTCGTTTCACATGTACTCGGTTCACAATATGAAACTTTTCTCGTGTTTGTGAAACTTTTGTCATGTTATAAAATACACGTAAACAATTCACATGCGAACTAATTAACAGGTTCACATATGAACATGTTGCCACCTATTAGTAAAAGTTACGAAACTGTCTTATATATTTCGCATACCCATGCGATGAATTATCCAATGCTTCACGGTCAAAGTCGTAAATATTGACCAGATGAAGTGATAAAATCACGTTTTTACTTCTCAAATATTTACCATCTCTCAAGTGAACCTTTTATATATATATATAGAGGGATGTTATTCTACACCCTTTGCCATTCCTACACCATATACAACCCTCATCTCAACCATTCAATTTTTAATCAATTAATTATTTCCTAATATAAAGTATTAATCATAATTAATAAACTCTATTCATATTCCATAAATATTCAAATCATAATAAATGAACTCCAATCATTTCTATAAATATCTCAATTAATTGGGTTGCAAAGGTTGTACAAATGCACAAGGTTGTAAAAAAATATACCCTATATATATATATATATATATAATATAAAATTTATTTGTTTTATTTTAATTTAATTGGTAATTATTAAATAAAAATAACGCTGTGTTGGATGACATATTAATAGTAAAAGCCGGCAATTTATGTGCTTGTACGGCCGGCCTATTATGTAACTTTCTGATATCGGCCCATCTATCAATTTATTATTTTTACAAAAAATTTAAAATTTTATAAAATGTTTCAAACATTAAATATAAAAAATAATAAAAATAAATCATATAATATAAAAAAAACGTTCGTATTTATTATAGATTGAAAATAGGGGATCAATGGATGAAGATAAAAGTTTATATGATGGGCTCAAACTTAAGTTTAAGCTTAGTATTACTAGTTACTATTTACTAGTGTTCGGTTCGTGTGTTGTACGTATATTAAAAAATATATATTTTATTTAATTAGAAGAGTACTTGTGCAATGCATCAAGATACATCTCGATTTTAATATTTTATTTTATTATCTGTATCTGTCGATGTTATAATACAATTTTATGTGTTTTTAAGAAAGCAATAATGATTTTATTTTTGAATAAAATATAAATTTAAATATATCATAAAAATTTGAAAAAAATATATCAATGTTAATATCAAATCAACTATTTTAAAGTTCTATTTTTTATGTAATTTCTTTAATTTTTTTTTATTATAATTTAATTTAAGTTTAATAACGAAATACTTTTTTTTTGTTTAATAATATAACATTTTATAAAAATTATATTTAAGTATTCTGTTATAAGTCAATGATTATCTTGATTATATTTTAGATTTTTTATATTTAAAATGAGATGTTTATACTGTATTTGATTATGTTTATTTACAGTTAGTTACACGAATTCATATATGGARCTTTAATAAGTTGTACTTACGCACAATCTACTTGCAATCTTGAGTTTTAAGTAATATGCATTAATAAACKGTACTTTAAACATAAAAAATGGTTTTAAGAGTTTTTGTCAAATGCTTTATAATATAGTATAGATTATCTACTACTTAAATTACTATTAAATACGATATTATTAAATAAACGGATATAAAAAATGACATAAAGTTGACAAATAAATCAAATCACATGCATGGTAAAAGTTATAGCTCCAAAATACTATTATAAGATTACTAATTATCAAATACATTGATTTATGATTATCACAAACAAGTACATCTTATATTAACAGCTCGTCTTTTTGAATGCATGTATAACAACTATAAACAAAACAACATTGTGGTGTGCGTGGCATGAGATGACTTTTTTTTTATTTGTTTATTTCATACATAAAAATAACAATTATAATATATTATATGGCTTTTTAAGTTATAAATTTACCAATAGTATTCAAAAAATAACAAATTTAATAATACGATAACCCGTGATTATAAAACAACCACAAATATAATGGTATCTAAAAGATTATTAAGTGATTATATATTTGATTAACATATGCAGTATTACCAAAACAAATAATAAAATTCAATAACCAAAATAACAATAACATTATGTCAACTAAGCAACTTCAAGTTTTGCTTATATATATATATATATATATATATAGATTTTTATCAGGTTTTTGTATTTTGTAAATAATTGATATATTGACATGTTCATAGTAAGTTTCATGAAAAATACTGATCTTATCTTTTTATATAAAATAAGAAGAATGTAAACGTTCAAGTCGATTCTAAATGATTTTTAAATCATGATTTTATTGTATTTATAATCAGATCCTTTATTTTACTGGTTTAACTTTAAAATAATTAAGTAGAACTTTATTATATATAAATAAGTTGTTATCAACTTTTACAAAGGTCATAGTCAAGAAAATGGTGGTGTAGTATTGACCCATTCCAATCATACGACATTTTCACTAAAAAAAACATAGATAGATTTAAAAGGAGTACCGTAAAAAAATATAGAAGATAATAAGAAAAAATCTCAACTATTAGATCAGATAAATTTAATAAATTTTATTTAAATCCTTTTATATAAAAATATTGATTAAATATTAAATTTATTAATATCTATAACTATTATATTGTGCTATAATTTTTGTAAAGCTTATTGTAATTATAGAAAAACTAAAAAACTTGTACTTGATAAAGTTCATAAAATCACCGTTACATCATTATCATGTGTCCATAAAAAAGCATAACGTTTTTTACAAGTTTTTGAAAGATTCAATTCAACATCTGAATTAAAAAAAAAATTAGCTGGCCTAATCATGAACCGTTCTTAATTTTTCTGTTAGCGCTTGTGAAATATCGTTTTCACTATCTACCCATTTGATTAAATGCCGTTTTAATATATGAAAATTTATTATAAAGAGTCATTTACTAAATGTTTACCAGGTAAATATTTACCGACAAGAGTCATCACTCTCAATTATCTTATGAGGTAACATTTATTGTTATCCAAATGGATTTATGATAAGCGTCGATTACCGGGTAAAAGTCATCGTCCTTATTTACCGGATACGACTTGATATCATTGTCTTCCCTCCTGTCCGGTAAGATTCTCGGTTTTTGATGGACCCAATTAACCTGATTTTTATACCAAATAACCATTTTAATACCATATAAATCAATCTTAAGAGTTTATTTCCATAAACTTGAAAATCCACAATCCCTATCGATCTTTAAAAACAGTATCTCTCTCTTTCACTTTGCTTTCGGCTATCAAAGCATCGAAGCCATAAAAGCATTTCCTTCCCATTCTTTAGCTTTTGCTTTATCAAAGCAACTTTCATTTAAAACATATATACACATATATATACATATATATATATATATGGACATGTATTACTCGGTGTTACGACGTCGTTCCTAACCCTTTTTTCTATGTAAACCACCTCAAATCCCGATTTGCTTTTATCTTCTCTGATCATTTGAAGAAACCGTTCCAAAAATGGGTCCCAATGTGATTCCAATTCTCCCCAAACTTTCCCTTTTCTTGGGAGATGTAATTTATCAGCTCATCAACACGCACTTTTCACCCACTCAGTCTCAATCCAAGAAGAACACCAACTTTTTTGTTTTTATTCATCTGTTGTTTCTTCTCTGGCTTATATAATTTAAAAACCCCACGAGAAAGATTCAATCTCTAGATATTTTTTTACTGTTTTTTTGTTGATTACAATGGGTTCTGAACCAGTCTTCTATGTGGGGTTCTTCTGATTTCACTCGAGGTTTTGATCAACTTGACGTGGCTCTGTTAATGCTTACGTTTCGCCGGAAAAAATGGAGGAAGAAGCTTCGACGGTGAGGTTGGTTCGTTGTCCAAAATGTGAGAATCTTCTTCCTGAGCTTCCTGAATACTCTGTTTACCAGTGCGGTGGCTGTGGTGCTGTTCTTAGAGGTATTTTTGCAGTTTTATATCCATTAGATTACTTCTGTAATGTGTTTGTAGATAGATATATATATATATACACACGATTTTAACTTACTATGGTCAAAGTGATTAGCTTTTAATTAGAAAATCTATATAAGAATCTTGTTGATTGTTGAAAGAAATTTGTTAACTACATTGATTTTATAAAAAAGCGGTTTCAGAAATCAAGTTAGAGCACATTCTGAGGTATATATCAATGGAAATTTGAATCTTGAAATCACCATGTTTGACTTTTGCAAAATCAAAAGTGCACTGTATTATGAAATGGAGATGATTTTATAGGGGAAATTCAGAAAAATAGCCAATCTGCCAAACTCGTTTCATTTTATGGCCACTTCAGGAATCAAATTCACTAAACAGCGGATCTTTTTGCAGAAAGCTTACGCATATATTGGTGTTCTTGAAAAGAAAATTTCTTGAGAAAAATTATGTTTTTGAATGAATCAGGAACACATTCTACTCCTGCAAGTGAGAAAAGACCGTTAGAAAAACCCGATAACGATATTGGCACGAGGGTTTCTGAGAAGATAGAAAAAGTTAGTTTAGAATCTGGTTCTCCAATTGAGAAAGAAGGTGATGAATTTGAGGTTGGTAGAAGACATGGTAGAACCATCCACAAAAGGGTTTCTAGTTTGAGTGTTGGTTCTTCATCTAGGAAAGAGAAACGCGAAAGTTTCATGGATTCGGATCAAAGTAGGAGAAGAAGGCTCGATTTTGATCAAACCAAAGTTAAGGTTTTCGATAATTGGGACACGAATCAAGAAATTCGACACCCTTTTGGTCCAATTCGGTCAAGACCGATGGGGATTCATAGGAATTCTAGTACAGTAGAAAAGGGTAGATTTGGGAACTTACCATATGCGAATGAGGGTCCTTCGAGTTCTCATTTAGGTACTTTTAACAGCTTCGGTGAGCACGTTAGGAACCATGGTGGTTTAAACGAGTTCTCGAGGGTTCAAGATTTAGAGAACGATAGAGTTGAACTTCTTAAGAAGCTTGATGAGTTAAGAACTCAACTTAGCAGATCATGTACTGTGGCTGAAAAGCCAAATGGAAGATTAAATGGTTCTTCTTACCTTGATTCCAATAGTTTCAACCACCCTTCTTGGCCACAGCCACCACCACCACCACCGCTGCCGCCACATCAGCCTCCACATCATCAATATCTACCTCCATACCATGACCCTTTTCTTGGCTATAATCAAGAACCAGTTTTGTTTCACCGGCCATCGTGCTCTTGTTCACAATGCTACAACATGAATTGGCAGCCGATTCCTACAAAGACCCGTCCTTTTCCATCTTTCAACGGTCGAGAAGCCGGCTACCCTGGTTCATCTCAGCTGCCACGTCACCATCTAGGTTCTTTAAGAAGTGCAGGCGATCTTGATTCGGGAAATGGTAGTTTCGGGAGAAGGTATCCGAGAAGAAGGGTGATTCTAAGTCATGGAGGTGAACGTGTATCTCGTCCCATTTCAGGTGGTGCTCCGTTTATAAGCTGTTGTAATTGCTTCGAGTTGCTGAAAATTCCTAGGAAACTTACGATCATGGAAAAGAACAATCACGGGATGATGAAATGTCCAGTTTGTTCTGCTTTGATATCGTTGAAACTCGAAGATAACAAACTCGTTGCTTCAGTTTCTTCACCTATTTTACAACAAAAAGCCAATGAAAAAAGATCTAATGGAAGCCCTCATAGCTCTTGTGATTACGATAATTGTGGTTACACTTTTCAGTTGACGGATACTGAACCACAGTCATCAAGCGGTGGAGCTGAAAAGAGCGATGAGAAAAGCCCCGATAGTGTAATAGATAAGCCATCTTCGCCTGTTCCATTTTTAGAAAGTCAAAATGATGATAACTTGAGCAAAAGTCAAAGAACCGATCAAGAAAACCCGTCTGTTAACAACAAGAAATCTTTAAAAGATGCATTGGTTGCAACCGAGATAGATGTGTCTTTAACGGAGTACTTAAATATTGACGTTGTTAGCAGAGAAGACGATCAATTAAGGAACAAGAAAGGGGGGAACGAGTCCTTTTTCGGTGGTTTGATAAAGAAGAGACTTAAAGATTTCTCACGTTTGAGCAGCGGTGCAGAGAAGGCAAGATCGGATGTTTTCGTGAACGGAAAACTTTTGACCGATCGGGTCGTGAAAAAGGCCGAGAAGTTAGCCGGGCCTATTCATCCTGGGGATTACTGGTTAGTATATCAGATTTCTGTTAAAGAAAGCCATATGCTTTGATTTTCTAGAGTTAAACTTTCTAGATTTCAAATTCAAAATTGATATAGATCTCGTAGAAAAACATTCACACCGTCATTTTCCCATTTGTATCGTTTTGTTATAGTGTTCTACGTAGCTATCCATCTTCCCCGAACTTTCAAGAAAATCTTGAATTTTAAACTGAAAAACCGGTTCTTTTGACCTTAGAAGTCAAACTGTAACTCATCTTTATATTTTTCATTTCCTTGAAACAGGTATGATTCCTTAGCTGGATTCTGGGGTGTAATGAACCAGCCCTGCTTTGGCATTATTCCTGTAAGACCAGTTTCCATTTCTTGACCTTTTTTCGGTTTCAGATTCGTTCCGTTTGGTCTTTTTGACATCAAAACTCAATCCAATTGTCACCCTTTTGTAGCCATTTATCGAAGAATTCGACTATCCAATGCCCAAGAACTGCGCAGCTGGGAACACGGCTGTTTTCGTGAACGGAAGAGAACTTAACGATAAAGATTTAGATCTGCTTGCTGGCCGAGGCCTCCCAACGACCAAAGATCGGTCTTATATCATCGACATTTCTGGGAAAGTCGTGGACGAAGACACCGGAGAAGAACTAGACGGTCTCGGCAAGCTTGCTCCAACGTATAGTTCGACTTTTTCTCCATTGACTTTTTTCTTGAATAATAATGTGGTCTAATACAAGTTTCTTGATTAATATGAACAGGGTTGAAAGGGTAAAACATGGATTTGGGATGAAGCTCCCAAAAGCTGTTGCTAAGTGAATCAAAGTTGTTGGTGTTTGATGGTTATTTTCGGGGGGTTTAAGGTGTTTATATGAAGAAATTAAGGTAAGTTTGGTTGGAGATAGTAATAGTATTATGAATTCACTACAAATCGTATTATAGTTTGTGTTTTGATGGTGGTAAAGAAAATGAGATGTGAAAAGGGAATATGCTATTTTAAATTTATTTTCTGTTGTGAATATAATTAATTAATTAATGGAAAATGGATTATTATACAGTGAATTATGGATTTGGTCTTCGTGGTTTGATTTTTTTTACTAAGGTCTTTATCGTATATTTATTATGGATTTGGTCCTTGTGTGGTATTTAATTTGTTTTGTCCTGATCACATTCTTTTGTAATTTTTTTTATAAAAATGTAAAAACAATATTTGTATACACATTTAAGATCACGTGAGACTCGTGATACCATTTTTTTACATTTGAAATTTCACAGGAAACACTGTGAAGGTAAAAAAATTCCGAACATTCACGACAAAAACACTATGAAAGTAACATTGACAGTATTTTATGATTTAAAATTGTTCATATCAAAATAAATTAAATTAGATATTATTTTATGATTTAAAAGAGTAAATTACCTTTTTCGTTCTTGTGGTTTGTTAAACATTGCGTAAATTTTTACTTAAGTGGGAAAGACTAAAATAGAAATGAATTTTAAAGTATATGGATGAAAAAGACAATAAATTTTAAATTATAAGAATGAAAAATGTAGTGAATTATAAGGATGAAAACTATAATTTCAAAACCATAAAAATGAAAATAAAAAATTTCAACAAACCACATGGACTAAAAACATAATTTTACTCATTAGAAAATTAATAACATTAAATATGATTATTGTTTTAGTATTTTTGGCTATTTTGATATGAAAATCTGGTTGAATTTTAATATTTTATATATTGTTTAATTTGAAGTTATAAAGATGTGAGTATGTATAAATCTTTTATTTGGTTAAAATTTAAATAATTGATTTTGAGATTTTTTGAATGAAAAATAATCCGAAAACTAGAAACCCTAATTTTAGGATGATAAAATTGGAGTTCATTTCTTAGTGATTTTCAATTATATTTATGTTAAAATATCAATAATAAGATGTTTATTGCAATAGTAAAAAAATAACAATAAAATTAGATCATCTTTTACATAATTTTTTTTTAATTTAAACAAAGTAAATTATAAAACCATATATT